CCCCCGCCCTTTCCGGGAAACTCCTTCCCATGGGGTACCCCGTTTTTTTTTTTTTTTTTTTCTTCCCCCCCCCCCCCCCCCCCCCCTCTCTCTCTCTCTCTGTATCTCTATCTCTATCTCTCATTTTCTCTCTCGCTCTCTCTTTTCCTCTCTCATTTCTCTTTTACTATATTTACGTATAGTCTATATACCTCTCCCCCTCCCTCCCTCCCGCTCTCCCTCCCTCTCGTTCTCATACTTGTACCATTGGTCGATGTATGTCAGAACTCATCAGCACCCCAGATGTGAGCTCTCCACTGGGGCGGGTCCTCTCGACTCCACCCCCGCCGTGGTCTCCGCTTCGTCTTCCCTTTCGCCGGCCCTGGCAGCATGGCATCTGCCCATGGTTGTTCCAGGGGAACAATAGTATGCTGACGTCCTTCTCCGACCGTTCGGGACGCGGATGAAGCCGATACTCGATGCACCGTGCTTGTCGCAGTGAGTCGGATGCTCGCCGTCTACCCCCCACCTTACCATTCTCCGGCATCCTTTCACGCCTTTTTTCTGGCATTTCCGTCCGTAGTCCATCACACGCCCGTCTGTAAGATTGCCTTTGTGTTTGGCGCAGAACGTACCCTTCCCGTCTGCCCAGTACCCCCAGGTCGGATGAGTTGCGGAACATCCAGCGCGGGCACAACGCTTACTCCGCACGTTCACCATGGAATCCTCGGCATGCTTTCTGCAGTACACCCCCGTGTGGCTGCCGGCGTGGTTGAAATTCGGCCGCTTCTTGCACCCTTCAACGTGGGCGCAACGCCTGGATACCACATCCACCATGGAATCGTCGGCATGTCGTCTGCAGTACATAGCGCCCATCCTGCCTTCGTGGTTAAAAGATGCCTGGGTCGTGCATTTCAAGGCCCAACAAGTAGTAGGCATTTGTGCCCACCACCGATGTGATCACGGCAACAGAATGTATGGACGATGGCGAACCCCGCCTTTACCCTGTACGAGTTCGAAAAGTAAGGGGTGGGATTGTAGTCTATGAGTTGCGTTTCCAAAAATTACAATTAGCCGGAGAGACGACATACGAATAAAGACTATTCATGCTACACGTAGCAGAACAGCAACTGATGGGCACTGAGAAGGCGTTGCCACAAAGTAATGGTCAAGACCTTATCCCAACATGTTTACAGCGTTCTCGGCAGTCACCCACGCAGAGCGGGGTAACTGGGCCCACAATACTTATGTGACGATGGTCACCGTGTCGGTTGGTCACTTCCAACAGTTACCGTTTAGTGTCTGTTGTGAGCTCCGTATGTTGTGTGTTTGGTTGTGACTCTTGGAAGTGGAAAGCGTACATGAAGTGTCTATCTCGCTACAGAATATCTCCTCCCTCTCTCTCGCGCGCTGAAATCGATCACCTTCTTCATTATTCACTACCCCGAGAGGGAAAGGAAGGGATGCATGGTTCTGCAAATAATGGAGAGTGATTTTCCCGTGAATCTCAACCCACCAGCGTCACCAAGCCATTTTCGAAGAGCTTGCGAGTCCCGAAATCAACACTTGGCTCACCAAACTTTATTTTGCGCGTAGTGAACATCACAGACAATATCGGTCAGGGAACGATCACGATCTACATCTATTTGTGCGAGAAGTGTACCGTGAAGAATACTCAGAGCGATCTGGCCTGAAGTATGGTGCCACGCCCTGTTTGCAAGCTCAAAAGGATGCTTGTGTGAAAACGGAGTCAACCTCTGCGGGCTTCATTCAGTGGTGCATGCAATTGGAATGATGAGAGAGGTAGGAGAGGAAGTCTGCAGTAGTACAAACTCGATACAGGTGTGCCATACGATCACGCAGCCGAACCGAACCCCATGATATTTCTCTCACGAAAACAGAGGGGTCTTATCCTCTTCTACCTGCGCAAGCCGCTGAGACGACCTTGACCTAGACCGGAAGGGGCAAGAGACTGAGTAAAACCACCAGTATACGCCTGTGGGCTCTACTCACGCCGTCGCTAGGCGTGCCTACATATTTACCGGGCAAAGAATACACAAAACAGCGCACCGGGTGAGATCCGCTCAAATCTCCCTCGAGAGCGGAGCACCGCGAGGAGAGCAGTGACACAGCACTCCGACGACGAGGCTAGAGGATCACAGGAGGCGGCCGCAGGAGGAGGCTGCGTGACGGGCAGTGCTGGGGAATGACCGTCTTGCTCTTGGAAGGTGGGTGATACGGCTCTCCGTCGAAACATTGCGGGTGACATCCGAGAGGGGCTCCGCACACTCAGAATTGAACAGCAAGAAGCCTTTCACAGTCGGTAGATATCGTTGGCGTTAATATCGTTGGAACATCTCAACGAACGGTGTGTGTATTTCTGTCCAGCACGAAACCATTGCACTCTGGAGGACGTGTTTGTCTCCCTCTTGACACACCGCCGCATACAAGTGTACAAGTGTACAGTAGTTCCGATATGAATGGACTCAGCTCCTTCCGGGCTTGTTTGACTCACGCCTTGCCTACTACGCTCAGCAGTCATGCGCAGTATTTCAACAATGCATGCACATGTGGAGTGTGCAGAAATGTTTTCTCGGGTGCGTTGTGATACTGGCGGGTTGGGTGCCGACGCTTTACCTTCTTACTGCTGTTCGAAGTGACCCATAGAGGATGCGGGCGCATAAACTCAACACCAACACACTCAGGCGCCATTTCGAGCTACCCCTTGGAAAAAGGCAAATAGTTTAGTCCATGGCGGGCATCGCTTCATACCCCTAGGCAAAGAACCCCAAAACTACAGATGCTTTACCTCAGAATGTACGGTACTGTAGTACGCGGTTCTTTCGCCAAAGAAAATGTCGCCATGAGGTTAGTTACAGCAGTAGCCTTGGCTTGGCAAATCTGAGCTCCTTACCGGACAAAGGGTTGCTATCCTGTAGCTTCTTTCTACAGTGTGAAACGTGTCCCCACAACAAGTGGACATTTTTCATACTGAAGCTTCAGTAAGTCGGCGAATGTTTCCAGGTACCAGACTTGTACAGTTTCACCATCCAGATAGGGGACACGCGGCTTAGGAGAGTTTGTGGTGCAGCCAGTCAGAGCCGCGGAGAGGCATCACACAGCAGCAGTATATCACAAAGCGTACCCAAAACCCAGGGGTTCTCACGTATGTTTCACACAGCGGAGCCTACAGTAGGGAAACAACTGTGTTGCCGCAGGTAGACATATGAGTTCGGTGTCCCCAAAGCGTCCCCATTTCGGCGTCCACTACTTGGAGGGTCAAGTGCGAGCACTAACTACTGTATACCAAACTGTCGTCCGCTGCCCTGTGCATTTGGTCGGTGAACCGCTGCGCTGTGCATTTTTTGGTCTGTGAACCGGGGGTCAACATCTAGACTATGATTCGATACTCACAGGTACGTGGTGTGAACCATATTTTCTGTGAAGCCCCCCTATCGAAAACTCGCCGCTGCCCGCCACTCCCCGCACCAGCCGCACAAGGACTGGACCCAGCACACGCAGCAGACAAACCGGGGCCGATAACGAACAAGTCAGCAGCAGTCAAGACATATTACCCGTTGGGGCGGTTACGTCGCCGACAACCGATCCAATATCATCATGTCGGAAGGCGTCATGCTGCTATTGCTGAAACACCAACTCCTACCCCATGCACCAGCCACGACGGGAAGGCAGCACGAGAGGCGACAGCGGCAGATCGAGATGCCCTGTCTCCCGGAGACAAGTATTCTGATCGATCAGTGTCGCAAGCACTACGCTCTCGTGGCCAGAAGAGGTGAAAATATACTTGTCTTGCAAATATCTACTGCTTGCTGTATGTAGACGGTACAATAGTCTCCAGGACGACACAGGTTTTACCTGAAGTGAAGCAGACCCGACCCGAACCAATATTGTGCGATGAGTGAATGTACAGTAGCACAGATACCCATATCACCCCTGGTTCTAGTTTCTTCGGACAACCAAGCGCACCCCGAGAGAGCGAGCGGTGTGTTGTGTGGGGGGGCACAGTAGACTTCCTCTCGCCTGCTAGCGACTCATGTCATGTGGCGGCTCGTCCGCTTCCAGCAGATAACGTTTGTCCAGAACCACAACATGTCGTCAGAGCAACCGTGCCGTGGTGGGTGGGCAATACATGGTGGGCGAGACAACGGGTAGGGAGCTGTAAGGCAGCAAGAGGGCACACTTTGCCAATAGAGACCTGCTTTCGAACGATGCCTACGCGCTTACTCATGAAAGCAACGCGTATGGGCCAATGAAATATGTTGCTGCTTCAACTGAGAAAGCAGGCGGTACTGCCGTGGCTTTGGGCAAGCGTTGCTTTCGCTCCACCGCCCGTGGCCCTTCCCCACTGTCTGCTCGAGAGAGGTTGTGAACACAGCGTGCTCAAAGCAAACACCTTTCGGTTCGTGTATTGAGCAAAGTTCGGCGAGTTTCGCGACGCACGGTCCATGCCGTCTTCTCGTGCCCCTGCTGCCCTACCAAAGGCGCATCGGTTGGAGTGCTACACGAATCTAGTTTGCCATCGGGGGTTGTGAGTTGTCGACCCTTGAATCTTAAGGACCGACAAGAAAAAATGCTTGTCCATAATCAAGGTTCGCCGGTATGTCGAGCACCCGGCAAGAGAGTGAATGAAGAAAATATGGCCCATGTTTAGCATATTGGGCGATGCCAGATTCGTTCTCCCGAAACTGCTTTGCGTCACTTCTGTTGAGTTGCAATGCAGCCACGCGTATTCCAAGGAACTTTTAGATATCCTTCATTAGTATTCGTTCCTAGATCATGGTGTTGAAATACTCTGAGCCGCTCACACGCCTGGCACTTTGGTACTGTTGTTCTCGCTGCTGCCGTAACAGGTTTCATATCTTAAGAGACACATATGCAGCGCACATGATGTCATTTGGTGTCCCCAAACCGAAATGTTCTCAGGGAAGGACGGAAAAGGGGCTTCGATTTCGGGGGATACTACATGTACTTCTCTCTGACATGTCAATATGATCCAGATAGACATACCGAAAGAAACAAGGGGCATGGTCCATGCACTTCATGATTCTTTATCCTCACCATCATCGAACGTGGCGTCGTTGCATGTGAAACAACCGGTAAACCTCAGGTCCGGGTCGGCGGGGGAACCACAGAGACGACGCGCAAGCGTTCACCGCAGCAGGTACATGTCGTCCATTAGGTATGATTCATATTGGCAATGCAATCATTTTCTCTCAAAATTTGCTACACGGCAAAGCCCAACTTTGGAACAACAACCTATTCGTCAACCCTAAGTGGTATTCTATGCCCTTGTTGTCTTTGTAGAGACTGTAGTGCTTGATGTTTAGATGCTTGTTATCACTCACACCCGGTTGGGGGGAAAGAGCAGGGAGTGCCACGCGCACGACAGCTGACAGCAGCTGGCGTGGGGGCTCCGCACAATCATTCTCTGGTCGTACTACCCAACGCATACCTATGCACCTGAAACAGTCATCTCGTCTACAGATCCGACTACATACGCACTCACACGATCACAACCAAACAAAACGAAAGAAGACGGGGCGGGTCTACTGTATCGGACTCGTCTGCGACCGCCAATTTTACACCCAGCCGATGATGGTCTCTCCTACCAACCCTGGCTTGACTTCAGCAGGACGCGTGCCGTACTTCATTAACCCCCGCATGTCGGCGCTAATCGGGCCCCGAACTCTTGATAAAGCCTCCCCCCCCTGGTGCGGTGAGAATCCGGCGTGCTCCGTCCTGGCTTTGTCGGGATGCGAGGTCAATGATCTAACCACTACGGCATGCACGACTATGAGTACACCCCCCCTCCCCCCCTTCCCCCCCCCAAATGCTTCCGGGACGGCGCACAGCTACTGTCACGACGATGGCCCATGTGCTGCGCGCCGCGGCTTCGTTTCTCAGCGACAACGACAAGGAGGCCGTCATGAAACGTGGGTGGTGGTGGATTACGGCATCACGTGAAAGGGTGTCAGCAACGAAATCAGGACCCGTTCTTGCAAACCTGAAAAAACAGCCTGTTAAGTTCGTTATATCTACCGAGGTACCCGCCGAGAGCTCCCACCTTCGGCCTCATTGATGCGTATTTGTCATCGCTGTTACTGCAGTCTAGCAAAGGAAAAAAAGAGGTGATCATGCGATATCGCGCCGTTTGGTTACGTGGCCACACACAGGATCGAAAAAGTATCTCTGTAAACGAGGTTTTCCCCAAATGGGTATCGCGCCGTATGCCGTTGTTCTCAGTGACACTGACCAGCATTGTCCTGTTCTTCCATGTATACGTTCGGGTCCGCGTTTGGGTTTCGGTGCGTTTCGGTGCCCCGCGGAACGATTGGTCAGCCACGGAAATACATGGGGTGGGATGGAACCGGATAGAGAAACTCCCTCGTCTTGCTGAAGTTGAGGGGGCCTCGACCATCCCTGAGCATCATATTGCTGCCGTGCGGCCACCCTTTTCGTGCAGAGATCGTGAGCATGACGCTCGATACTGGATGCCCCGTTGCCCTGGCTCAAGAGCTGCTAGCAGCATTGGTCGCTTTAGCGGATAGAGACCCAGCTAAGGTCCGTACATCGTTCGGTATTCAGCGGTGGTAGGCTCTTAGGTCGCCTATTTCGTCGTCGCGCGAGTCCTCGTGGTGCTTGACAGGTTCTCGAGTGATTCCTCTCGATCGGGGCTCGTGACTCTTCACCCGTCGTCCGTTGACGACAAGATGTTCTTCGTTATTCGCGTTATGGCCCCTGGCCATCTCTCCATCGCCGTAAACAATGTCAGTTCCGTTGACCTCGAGTTCCGCCTGAAGGTTTCCATGTCTTGGCGCTAAGGTATAGAAAGGTGATGCCGAGCCTATACACAGTGTTTGCATTTGTCGACCTTGGCTATGATGCACACTCGAAAGACCGATCGCATTCACCCTGTTCCGAGTTATACTCGTTCTCCGCTTCTCTTGTTTGATAGGACATCCCAGGTGATGGGATAGTACTCACCTTCCGTCCGTGTTGATCTAGGCTCCATAGCGTTTGTTGCTGTTTCTTTCGTAAAATACTCCGCCGTGTAGCAAGGGCACGATTTAGTCGTTCAATTTAGACTTGGACACGCAACTTCAAGACTGCCCCGGCGAAGACTGGCGCGAAAGTCCGAAAATGTTGATGTTCGTGCTGCACTGCCCTGACCGTGGTTCGGCCCTCTCACGAGTGGTATCCGCGAAGACACGTTTCGAGTACCCACTTTTGTTCCAGAAACGGGCAGGTATACCCACTTTTGTCTGGTTCCCTTTCTTTTTCTTCATTGGAAAATAGGAGCAGTTTTCCTAGTCTTTGTTGTTCCTAGGGTGATGATCCCGTTCGGTGCAATGGGGCCCTGTGTCTTCCGCAAACAATTTGGCTGTATCCCAGCCTCGAGCTGCAGCGATGGGCTTTGCACCCTCTTTGACCGCCCTTTCTGGCCCATGCTATATTGTTGGTGTGTTGCCCTGCTGAGCATTTGACCATCTGACCTTCTTTCGTCTGGGTGGTATGACAATCTCGATGGTACGGACGACGTCTCTCGGGCATATTCTGCTTCCATGACTCACTTATATATTCTTTGTATTTGTCACGGGAAAAACCTGTTGGTTGCCCATGAAGAGAACGGAACGGATGTATGTGAAGACAAGGTCGACACCATTTTTTTGGGTCAGGACATCAAGCGATAGACCAAGCGATAGATACCGACGAAAACCTGTACCGACCAACCACCGCCGCAGATCTTGGAGGTATACGGATCCCGACTGTGCTTCTACTGCGACTCCCAGACTGACCCGAACATGCAAGATCAAGTTGCCGAGGTGATGGAACCCCCGGGGTAAAGAAAGATGGTTGCGCGTGCTCATCATCATCGCAGATAACTCGCCAATTTGCGACGTTTTAGGCAGACCATGGACATCCTGCGACAGATCCATACGCGCCTGCATGCTACCTTTCTGGTTGGAGTATCACACTGCGAGTACCGCAAGCTCGAAGCAGACTAGACTACTTGTTTTTTGGTTGTTTGCCCGTTTGGGCATTCCCTTAGAGAAGTTCGGGTTATAGTTCCTCTTGAATGGGGGCCTTCTCTATTTTGGTCGGTGTTGACCTTGCGTGAGAGTCATTTTGGGAATTGAGAGAGAGAGGTCTCCATCAAAGTGTCTTTCGACGCACGATCAAGCCCTATAACAGGTTTCGTGCTAGATCCGAAACATGACAAAATTAAAACGCTTGAGAGGCATGTCTCAGACCCTTCTTTATGGAAACAGAATCTTGCAAATATATTTTGGCATTTTGACCCAAGATTTGCTCACAATATATCTCCGCGAAGATTTGCAGTATCGCGATTTACGGGGGAAATATCTTGACTGTTGAAAAAGCGATGTGTTGTTCCTCTCTTCTGCTTGAAGTTGATAAAGGCACAACGGCCACTTGGTCCACAGAAAATGCCGAGGTGTGGCGAAAAGTGAGCATGACGCAGTTGCAGAAGGGGCATCCCTCCCCCACCTGTATTGCCTCAACACTGTGGGTGGATACTAGCGATGGGCGCGTACCTGGGGTGCAAAATAAAAGCCGTTGCCCACGAGCTCATGTCAAGCGGAGAAACAAAATTGTTCCATTGCTGTCCAACTGACAAGAAAGTACATCAACCCGAGGCCGATGACACCCATGCACGTATCTCACTATGTCGCAGGCGTACCGAGGTCAAACCTCCGGCGCTGTCATCTGCACTCACGGATTTGGCTCGGGTGCAAACGGGTCGGGTGTGGGGTGACTCGATGAAGAGATAGAAGCGTCGCACACGACAGAGCAGTGTTGGCAAAACGTGCCCCCTCCTCTATTTTTCTACATCAAAATCAAGTACTCTTTGAACGGTCCCTCGACAGACTGGTGATGGCGCACGTGGAACGAGCCATGGCATATATGCATTTTTTTCGCGCGCCTTGGTCGTTTTCGTTCGCTGTCGGCGCCCGTGGCGCCGACACAGTGATGCCAGGGTGCGTTTGAGACCCTTGCGAGTGTGCCACGTGCAGATTTCATGGCGTTATGGACGATTAGGTTGACTGACCTTCGGTGATCGCGCCGCACCCAGGCAAGATTTGTTACGCCGCCTCAAGATTTGTCGGAAGGCTCGTTTCGACAGATCTTGGGTCAAGATTTGTTCGAAAGGGCAGATTTCGGGCCTCGAGAATCTTGGCCAAGATATATCGGAAGATTTCGCTCCCATAAATCGTGAAACTGGCAGATCTTGGCCAAGATCAAGATTTATCGACAAGATTTTGTTCCCATAAATCGGGGTCTCAGAGAAATTTTCCGTGACCACGTTTCACGAGTATCTCCCCCTCCTTCAAGGTGACAAGTTTCAGGTCTAACAAAACTTTCGAGAAACGTTTCGCGAATCGCTTGGCGAGAGAGGACCTTTTCTCTCGCATTTGGCCGCTCACCAGGTTGGAGGAGTACGAGTTTGATAACTCGTCCTCGCCATTGAAGAGCTTGTTGACTTCGGAATTTCGGGCACTTCTCCTCTCTATATGTTTGAAACGGCAAATTTAGGTGGGAGGAATGATTCGGGCGCTAGAGCACTTTACGAGGGTGCTTTTCACGGGTGGACAGAGCGACCTGTGTGCGCAGTTCCTGTACGCCGACGTGTCGTCGGCCTCCCTCGGCGCCGCGTCTTTCTCTTCCAACCTCTCTGAAGAGGATCTGAACGATCTGCTGTGTGGTGAGTTTGCCTCCTCACATGTCAATCTCTAGCCGCACCCAGAGTTAGGCCTCATCTCTTGTCGGATAAAGATACGGGGAGGGACAACGCGATCCGGGTGGTCAATGCGCTTGTATGCAACGGAGTTGCGACCCCTGCAAGGCCTGGTGCGCTATACACCAGACTTTGTACAATGGATACCAATGATAGTTTTCCGCAGCATACGACGATGGAACTTCAGGGTTCCGACGCTGCTGACTGGTGAATAACAGGTTATGCATCAAGGTGTATGAGTACTGCCCTCACCCCCCACAAACTGTTGACGTGGTTGTTTGATCCAGGACGGAAGGACTACCCTCACGTGGCCCAGCTGATCAACGGATGCCTTGCCTCTCGCCTAGCTTCAGTCCGTCGCTGCGCTTACGAGACCCTGTCCAACGTCGCTCTCTTCGCGAAGGCACACCGGGCAAGTACTCTTTGGTGTTACTTTTACTGCTGCTGTTGCTGTTGTTGTTGCTGTTGTTGATGCTGCTGTTCCTGCTGTTGCTACTGCGGCGGCGGCGGTTGTTGTTGCTGTTGTTGTTGTTGCGGATGTCTAATTTTCTAGTTGTTATTGTTATTGTTTCTGCAGGTATCGTTTGTTGCCTCGCGCCAACTCTTAGATGGATGGCGACATGGTCGTGGGTGTCAGGCGAGCACCATAGGTGCAGTGTCGGATCTTAGTTCAGCTAGCGGGAACAAAAATGCTGCCAGCGACGGTAGAAGACGGGATGGCAGCCAACGCAATATGTCACGGTATAAGCAACGTAGGCTATTGAAGGAGCCACTCTTTGGAGCCGGCATGACGTTCAAGTGTCCATTTCCGGCCCCGAGCGGGTCTACAGGACACAGAAACAGCACGTCACTGTCGCAAATTCTTCAAGAACCTGCCGCTGCTGTCTCCGCATCTATCGCTTGGGCCGATGTCGAAAACAAAGCTTCTTTCTCACTGTCATTCGGAAACCCGGTGCTGATTCAGGGCCCCAAGGCGTTCGACATGCTGCTGCGGTTGCGTCTCGGGGGGGCGGAAAAAGACCCTCGATTGATCGCCGTTTTGGCTGCGCTCGTCTGGGTGAGCGAAACCGACATGTGTATTCGCTCAGGATCTACAAGTTCGTATTCAAAACGCTAAGCAATATATTTTCGGTCACGTTGTAGACATGATGCCCATTAGAGGTTGAGCATAGCCATGAAAAAAACGAGTTTTTCATCATGCACGATGAACGTACAGTAGAAGTCCATCTTCAACTGAAAAACGTGCTGGCAGAGGTCGGAAAAGTATGCTCCGCGCCACAGACTTCAATCACGCTCACTTGGTGTAGGAAGAGGGACGGGGGGGGCAAACATGATGGAAGGCGTTGCTGTGTTTTTTCTTGGCTGCACCGGTGTATTTGGCTGTGCGAGAGCAACGCGCCGTCACTTCGGAACACCGTGGGAGAGATGCTATCAAATTTCGAGAGCGCGAGCAGTAGGTTAGCGAGAGTCCTTCCAGATCATTTTCTCCACTCGCGACAGCAACGTAATCAGAAACGAGTAGAATCGTGTGCAAGAGCGGTTGTAGCGCTTCCGAAATTCAGGCGACAATAACATCGCGAACATATTTCTTTCTTACCTCAAGGTCTTATTTGCTCGTACGTGTTTGTTTCGCACGGTGGTGTGTTAGAGTTCCACGAGCTGTACAAAAGCGGCAAAAGCCACGTTGCAGCTCTGGGAACGAATCAAGACACTGACACTAGCATACATGGTGCTCAACGAAGTCGCATGGGTATGTTGCTTAACACCATGCGAGAGCCACGAGAGCAAGATGTACAAAACCTCGCCCTTTCGTCTTGGACCGTAGTAGTATGCCTCTCGGAACTCTATTTTTTCCATAACGTGACCGTCGCTCGCAGCTTCAAGCCACCCTACTACGACGTTGCCTCTCTGTCGGAAGAGCTCCGATCCGGAGTCGCATGCTTTCATTCGTCGTCGACGAATATTTTGTTTCAGGTGTTGACTCTCTTTCAAATGAATTGGCGTTGATGTGCATTTTTTCGCTCTTTCTTTTACCATATTTCGTAGCGTTGTGTCGTGAAAGAGGACGAGAAACGAGTGCCAGCAGTGACGGCGAAAACACCTGTATCTTGTACAGAATGAGAATGACGGGTAGGGTTCAGAGGCATTTTTTGGTGCAACAACTCTACACATCGCCAACAACCACAACGCCCACAACAACGAAAGCAACTGTGTATGGTTGAGCCTCCGTTCCCGTACGACTCAGATCTGCACAAGCATCGGACGGTCCATGAAAACAATGAAAAAATACAAACAAAAAACATGCGCAGGAAGTGGTGTTTGTGGACCAGGCCCTGCAAGACGAACGCCTGGTCGGCTCCGGAACACCCGGCTCCTACGGACTATTGGACGACCTGTTTGCAGGTGAAAAAAAACGGCACGCCTAGCTGTCTTGCCATTTCTTAGAGAAACTGAGCACACTATCCTCCATCTACTGACAAAAGTCCAGGATACACTAGCACTCAATTGATATTGTCATATTGGCAGGTCGTCAACCGTTGTGGTCAATTTTTTGCACCGATTCGGATGCGTAGCTTATATTGTCAGGTTGTCAACCATTGTCGTCAATATATTGCACCGATTTGGATGAGTATGTAGCACGGGGGGCGGCTTGGCGCTGCTGCTTTGGGTTCTGCCGGGACTTGCAAGAAGGGGATCTGTGTAGGGATCTCGGTTTTCGCGCCGAGTTTGACGCCCACACCTCAGCCAACACTATCCACAGACACCATCCGTTGTTACTGATTAATTGAGTCGGTGAAACGCGCAAGTAGTTATCCCCGCGCGATTCGGGGGTGCAATTTCTGGCAGCGTTGTTGCCTCGATGTCGAGGTGTGGGCGTTTTGGCGAAAAACACAAATAGCGTTTTCGGGATGAAAATCTCCTTAGCGTTCTCCGCTTTATCGCTCTCTCCCAGTTGTTCCGCAACAAATCTTGCCCAACTTCGAGGTGTGGGCGTTTCAGCGAGAAACGCAATTGATGTTTTTGGGATGAACGTCTCCTTCATTTTCTGAGGTTTGACTCTCCCAGTTGCGGAGCATGCCGGCGGTCGTGCCAGATCGCTCCAGCACGCGCGAAGGGGAAGTCTCTCGGGCCATGCGGCTAGGATTAGGCTAGGGGGTTGGGAAATACATTCCCCACGTTATCCGACGAACTTGGTGGGAAAAACGCATTCAATCACGCACGATATATATCCGCCGCTCTTTTGGTGTCCAATCACTCGGCTCTCACCCCCCGTTTGTGGTCCTCTTCGGCATTCCCCAGCTGTACCCCGTCCCAAAAATGTATCTCAAGCAACAATATACTCGGAAATAACCCACGATGTCCGGTATAAATGTGCAGCTTTCCCCCCGCGCACCTTGTCCTAACGCCTCCCAATACCGCACACCTTAACGGCGGCGGTGGAAAAAGAGTCGGTAGAGGTCCGCCTGGTGGCCTTCCACTCGGTGAGCCGCCTCCTCTTCCACGCGTGGATCCCGAAAGAGGGCGATGCGGTCAACAGAGAACCTCCGCCTCCGCGCCGCCAATCACGACGACACCGTAGCAACCGGGGCATTCAGGAACCGGAAGGGGGGGAGGAGTATTGCGACGAAGATAACGACGAGGATAGCGACCAGGATGGCGACGAGGAGCTACGATTTCGTCCTCCTGGTCGATCATCGTCGCCCGGCTACAACAACGTCCCCGCCTGTGCCGAGCAAGCAGTGCTCCGAGTCTCCCTCATCCTCCACGAGACCACCAGCGTCAACGACAACAAAAGGAGGCGGTTCGACCCCAGGGTCAGGGCGGCCGCCCGCAGCCTCGCCTCCGGCCTCCGAGCCCGCAAGAGGAGGGCCAGGCACCTGCTCGAGCGCTCGGTACTGCTGGTGGTAGACCACGGCCTGGCGAACGGCTCTTTGGACGGGCTGCGCGTGCGGTTTCCTCCCCCGGCTCCGCCTAGGTCAAGCGGTGGCGGCGGCGGTGTTGGGCTGGAACCGCCCTCGGCCATGTCTGTGTCTTCCGGCGATGAGGACGGCGACCGTGGGGACACTGATGATGGCACGTACGGTGCTGGTAGTGGTGTCGCCGGGGGGCGCTTTGGGGCGACAGGGCTGGACGATGGAGGCCGACGTCGGCGTGGTCGTGAGCTTGGAGGGAGGAACCTCGGTCGTGGTGCAGGTGGAGGGCAGTCGACGGCAAGGCTGAGCAAGGACGCCCTTCAGTACGCGTCGGCGGTGCACTTTCTGGTTGCGGTGAGTGCTATGGCAGCCGTGGCGTGATGGCGGCTTAACCCCGCCAGCAGTTTTTGTAGTCTTGCTGTAACCCTCCAAATCGAGGAAAACAGGCACACCTACCGTATCGTCACAGTGTTTGTCCACTCACCTGCTCATTGCCGAAACATGAAGAGGTACGGCGAACTTTCGGTCCGCTTCGAGTGTCGGCCATGCCTTTGGGCGAGAACCAGCACCCGGCAAGATTCGCGCAAGGCGCAACATGATTATCGCAACTCAGACGCAACTACCTGCCCCATCCCATACTTTTCGCGTAGGACACGGCGAACGCTTCCAGAATGCCAGAACGTCGAATGTGTTGCAGGTTGGAGAGGATTCGGGTGCTTTGTGCTTCGTCTCTCGACCGAGACGTGTGGCCAGCGGCCAAGCCAAGCCACATATTCCCTCGCCAGTCCCCGACACATGATGCCATGTCGTGCCTCCCGGCTTTCCTTAAACCTGAATAGTGTTAGTCGTTGCCGTCCCCCGCTCCGCCAGATGCTGTCGAGGGAACGCCAAGATTCGGTGACACTGACCATAGAATCGCGCCTTGCCGACTACTTCGACGGCGACGAAGACTTGTGGCTCATGACGGAGCGAGGGGGCACAGGGATGGGAACTTCGTCGGACTGGAGGGGATGCGGCGGAGGCAGCGGCAGTCGCAGCTGCAACGTTGACGCCAGGGCGGCCGCGGCATGGCTCGCGGGCGGCGTTGACGCGGGGCACAGCAGCATCCTCGCAGAGAGCTAGCCAGGTATACCTGTCGGTGGCCTTCGTGTGCACACAACCGCAGCGCTGCGTGTACCCCCATGTTTACATGTTTTCACCGTACCTTAGAGTGCCAGCGGACGACCGTCTGCATGGTCATGCATATCCTGCTCTACTGTTGACCTCCCGCATCACGAGAGAAGGAACACTGGTCCCGGCATTGACGCGTTTGAATCCTTCTCCGGTATCGCCAATCGTTTCGCGCTTTATCGTATGGTTGTTTCCGGCTATATGCGGCAACCTCCACCTTTTTCCTGTGTTGCCGGAGGGAGGGTCCAAAGATTGAGGTGCTGGCCGGGGTGTTTGGCTTCCAACTTCCGTGTATTGTCTCCCGATTTTTTCGTCGTGATATCCGGTTGGTTGGTTAGCCAAGCGAGCGTGGAACACCTTCGAGGATGGTGCGGAGTATGTCAAAATGGATAGTTCGTGTATTTTTCTGTTCGTGGAAAACCAAACTTCGTCACGATCGGTGAAGAGAGGGGGGTGGGGGTACTCGAGCTTGGCCTCAACTCTCCGCAAGAGTGAGAGGCGTGAATGATTCCGTTGTGCGGGGGGATTTCATTAGGATGCTTTTCGAGTTCGGTCACTAGAAGAGAGAGAGGTCATGTCCTTGTGTAGAGCTTGGTCTTTGTTGCATTGCTCCGTAGGCATACCGGGCCAATCACCTAGTCTATGCTTACCGCAAATATATATCGTCGGGTTTTTCTCTCGGTTTTTGTGTTCGCAAAAGCGAACGCCATCCCGCAGACGCGCCCCGAGGATAGAAAGGGTGGCACCAGGTGGTATCACACAACGAAAACCCGACAGGCGGCACGGCGACAAAGACATTTTGCAACCCAGTGGTCCAGCTGGTTGCTTCAAGAATATGCACCGAACTGTAACAACAGCAGTATCGTCGATGGAAGCTTGTTTCATATCCAGCTCAGGGAGATCATGACAAAACTGGATCACCGCCGGTGTATAGCATTCCCCGAAGCCGCGACGGAACCGGAGTTCTTGAAGCGACCCATACACGGAGAGGAAATATGCTCAAATGCCAACCACGGCACGGCTGACCATGCAATCCACAAGCGTACTGTGCAACGATTAATTGGAAGAAAAAATGGTACACTAAAAAAATTATTTTGCACAGTGCGTGGAAAATATTTCATCTATGCGTCCCACAAAAAATAAATCGCGTACCGGATATATCATGTTGCCGAAAGTTTGTTGTCCTGCCCTTCCGCTCCGAGCGTATTGCGCAACTGTGCACCTCTCGCAAAAGAGGTGCCAGTGCTGCATACCAACAGGATTCCCTCAAGAGAGCGCATACCAACGGCTGCTGTCCTCTCTGCGTGCCCGATGGACATAAAGTAACAAGTGGTGCTCCTTGCGATGTACTATATAGCCGACACCGCTGCACTGTCGCTCGCGTGCTAAAGCACCAACCCAAACTTGGCCGAAGATTCTCAACAGCTAAATATTGATGTGGGCCCTAAACCAAAGCAGATATCGACTTTAGACAACAATCGAGGACAAACAGTCGCAAAACAACAGCGTTTTTTATTTCCAGTGTGTGCAAGGCGCTACTGCTAGCCGCGAGACATACAGCGCATGGCTGTAAGGAATCCGGCGGTGCCACGTTTTGTGTACCCTACCCTCCTAACCCCCCCTTCCCCCCCGCCCGCATGAGTTGTGTGTGCCCCCCCCCCCCCCTGCCCCCCCCCGGTAAACGTGCCGCACGGTTACCCAACCGGCTCTTTTGTGTATTCGGGTCTGGAAGATGGCTATCTTACTGACCGAAAACGCAACATCCACCGCTACCTCTAGGCTTGGTTGTTTCAACCGGTCAAACGTCGTAATCGAGCAAGGTATCTGCGTCGACCGATCTATTGCCCTGCTCCTCGACATCCCTCCTACACGTCCGTCAGTTTCTCTCGGTATGTGTGTGGTATTGCCACTCAGACACTTGTCGCTATCTTGAAAAACAAATCGACAGCAATTGTGAAGGATGGCAAGCACCGCATCAATGACTACTGCCTAGTTGCCCCAGGTGTAGAAGTCGCTTTCGCAACGGACAACGCTTTGGCCTTGCTCGGGGCTCAAAACGCATCAGATACACCGGGCAGCTCTGCCTAAGATACTCTCCCCTCTCAAAAAAGGGGGACACGCTTAGGCAGATCACTAATGACGATCTCGTCGCAACTCTACCAGCCAAGCGTGCATCTCGGCGTCTACCAAAGCCCCGCTAAACTGCCAGCGCGCTCTGTGTATCGCAGTTCTCATTGGTGTAACCGGCGAAGCACGTGCAAAGACCCTGGGTTAGGTCGCAAAGGCCGCGGTTGGAGCACGGTGCTACCCACTCGGCGGTGTTGGCCGAGTCCATGTCGGGCGTAAAGCGGAAGAACTGACGGATGCCGACCTTGGTGGACTCCTGTAGCAAGTTCCCCTCGTCGTCTTCGATCATGTTGTGCGATGTGTCGGAGCCGTCCCAGAAGATGGGCCTGTCCAGCTTGATCTGGAATCGGTCCTCGGTAACGTTGCTGTTAATTCGTTCGGGCGGAGGAAAAAAAAAACAAAAAACGAGATCGAGAAAGCAGTGAGGGGAGGGGAGACACGTGCACGAGTGGAAGAGGGGCGTTGGTGTGTGCGCGTGGGTAAGAACAACGCTCATTTGTTTCGTAAGCAACACCAGCACCGCTGACAACAGCAACAGCAGCAGTGACATCAACAGCAGCAGCAAATGGAAGGCCCTGGCCCACCAACCTGTAGGCGTTGTAGTCCTCTACAGAGATCTTCTTGATCTCGTACAGCCCGGCCGAGTTCACGGTGTCCAGGGCGTGCTCGAGGGTGGACGTGTACACGGCGTTTGGGTACATCCCGTACTCGTAGGAGATGTCACCGGTCATGTTCTTCGACTCGACCCCCGTGGTGAAGGCGGGGATGACCAAGAAGTCCCCCTTCTCGAGGCAGTTGTTTTCCAGGTACGAGCTTCCTTCGGAGAAGACAGGGTCCACCCCCTTCGTGCCCGCGTTCTCGCACGAGAAGTCCCTGCTGGTGTAGATGGTGTCCCCGTACTGGTCCCACCACGCCAGACCCATCTCGTCGTGCAGGCCGTTCGCTGTGATGTCGTTGTACCCGTCGTACATCTCGAACTCTCCGTCGGTGTCGGAGTCGTACCACACCCGCTCGAGAACGCCGTCCGTGGCAAACACCTTTTTTTTTTGCGGGAGGGAGGGAGGGGGAAAGTCAGAATAGGGTTTAGGATGTTTTGTTGTCATAGGGGCAGTTGGGGTGAAAGTCGTATCAACGGCCACGGTTGCCGCCAGGCCTTGGGCTTAGCATGTGTTCTCGGGGCGGTGGCATGTGCGTGTGATAGGTGTAAGTACCGGCGGCGTAGGCGATGGCGGTAACCGTGATCTTCCTTCCTCATGTTTCCACGTGCGGAAGGTGTCAATGATTCCACACGCAGACGGATTACATACGTGGGCATCAACGCATCGCTCAGGTGCAGCGTGGGCCTAACCTACGGCGCGGCGAGGAAGTCGGCTAAACATACCAAAACCCCACCTGGTACTCCTGGGAGCTGTCCACCGCAGCCGAGAGCACGAAGTGTTCGTCCTCCTGGTGCCAGGTCATGATGGTGTACATGCCGCCCTCGAACTCCGACTCCGGGGCGTTGTTGACGAGCTTGACGAGGTGAGGGAACTGCCCGGGGACGGCCTCGAGGATGGTGTGGTGCCACGGCCCGAAGTGGCCGGTGGGTCCCCCGTAGTCCCAGTTCTCGACGCCCACGTTGTCAGTGGAGACCCCGTTTGCGTCTCCGAGGCACTCCTTGAGGGTACGGAGGGTGCCCGACGATATGCTGGTGGTCTGGACCAGGCCGTAGTGCTCACGGTTGTCGGCGACCGTGGTGGCGAAGTCGGTGACGCCGATGACGACGCCGCACTTCTGCATGAAGTAGTCGTAGAACTCTCCCGTGATACCGGTGTCGTAGACGACGGCGATGTCCAGTCCGGCGTAGGCGTCCGCGCCGGTCTTCTTGAGGGTGTGGCGGCCGGACTCGTCCAGCACCAGGATCTCGGGAATCTTGTGGACGCCCGGGTTTCCGGTGAAGCTAAGCATGTACTTGGTCCACAAGTCCGGGGTGACCTCGTCGTGCTTGTGGAGGCATTGCACGGTTCCCTCGTCGATGACGTCGTTGGGGATGGCCTCGAGCTCGGCGACGAGGTCGGTGCAGGTAGTGTTGAACGGGATCGGGTTCGTGACCCAGTCCTCGCCGAAGACGTCGTTGAAGCGAAGGCGCCAGGTCCCCTCCACCCCGGTCTGTAGGAAGAAAATCATCGACGGGCAGAGGAATGATTGTTTTAGTTTTTTTCGTTGCAAGCGGGTGTGGGTCACATGCCTTCAAAAAGACATAGAGACGTACTGGCGTACAAAGAAGGGGCATGGCCGATTTGAAAAAGTTGGGATGAGCTTTTCGTGCTTACGCTTGAAGCGCTCTGCAGCACTATATCCATACCTTGTGGGCAACGCGAGGGTCGAAGCGTAATTGTACACGTCTCAACCGTGTGATGAGCGTCCCACACAAAAAAAACGCGATCCGAGAAAAAGAACGGTTGCGCACGGCACCAACAGCAAAAAACAAATCACGGCCCGCTCCATCGTGTCGTCACCGTCCTCCGTTAGAGCCGTCGCGCCAGGGTCCCGACAAAACACAAAAAAGGACGCAAGCGTTACCACCAGACGCCAACAACACAAATGGAAGCGAGGCCAACAGATAAAAGCCCGTTTGATATCGCCATACGCTAGTGGCAGGCAACAGTGTCTTACCACGTCCAAGGCGTCCTCGAAGCGGATGGTCCACTCCGGAATGCGGGCCGTGTTCTCGTCGTCAATAAAGAGCGGGTCGATACCGTACGGACACATGCGCTCCGAGCAGTCATAGGAGCCGTAGCCGGCATCGCAGTGACAGGCCAGGCTCTGACTCGATCGATTTGGTTGGTTGGTTGGTTGGTTTTTGGGGATACCACGAAAGGGCAGCGGCGGGGCAGGTTGGCAAGAATATGAGCACACGGTAGTTTTGACAGATTCATGTTGTTGAGTCCGGCGCTTGATGCGACGACGAGGTTTGTGACGTTGTAAACGCCGTGGGCGACCGTGGAGAGAGGGGGGCGAGCAAGCAAGAACTTATGGCCACTGTTGACCCGTGAGATGGGCTGACTTTATTTCAGTGGTAGAATATTGGCTCAGAACAGGGTTCAAAGACAAGATGGAAACCTGTCCAAAGCGTGCATTTTTGCGGGGGGGGGTTTCAGGGGGTTGGGCGATCTTCACACGTGTTCGGCATGGCTTCAGACGGACCAGCCCGTGTACCACGGGAGGAAGACCCCACCGGACTTCTGTTGTTTTTTTTTTGCTCCGACTTTCTTCGACGGTTGCTATTGTTATCTTCACGAAAAAAAACATTCCGATCTCTCTATCCAGTGCCTCCCATGCATGTCTGTTTTGATCTTATTCTTGACGCGGTCGAATCCCTTGGTTACAGGCGAGGTTACCCTGAAAAAGGTACACATGAATACTAAAAACAATTGTACCCGAAGGGTCCGGTACGTGCCGCAACCTCAAACATCTCAGCAAACCATGGCAGCAAACGGTAAAGTCTCACCATGTCCGCGTCCCACAGCTCGTAGATGTTGTCGTGGTCATCCGCGGCGAGCTCGCGGTTGGTCTTGCAGACGCCGTGGCCGGAGCAGTCGTTGGGGCACGACGCGCGCTGGCAGGACGTCCCCTCATAGCCGACGAAGCACGTGCATGTCGCGGTGGTTCGGTCACACAGGCCCTTGTTGGAGCACTCCATGTAGTAGTGTGCGGTGTTGTCGACGATGGTGCCGTTAACCTTGTAGTATACACATTGTTCAGCCGAACGCAGGAGGGAAGATACGGTGTAGGCACACAGAGGATGTCACTGAGGTGTGGGCGCTAATTTACAGACGAGCGTAGGCCGGGTTTGTTCACCGTGGCTCTTGGCATTTTTCTTAGTTTAATCCAAACAGATCGCGGTAAACCCCACACAAACAATCTTGGATTTTGCCCGAGAGAGGCAGGTGTGGGTTGCGGAGGCATCGTTCTTCACGGAAGGGTTCAGCGATGGAGATTGGAACAGCGCGTTGGAGATGATCGCAAGTGGAAGATGTGTGGGTCAAGGGCCCTTCCATGTATACCATTGCCGTCGAATGAACAAATTGTATGCAGGAAATTAGCGAGAGGCATGGAAAAACAATAGGACGCCGTCGCGGATGGGATATGTCTCCTGCGCACGACCAGGATACCGATACCGATACCCTATAGCTATTGCATCCTAAGGCTTCTTCTTGAAACGTAGCCCATTGGTTTATTGGTGCCGTAAGCGTGGCAGTCAGCATTCTCCATCTTTGAGGGGGGCGCCAGCCCGTCGAATCGGGCTGACGGCCCTCTTAAGAGTGGAAAAAGTTGACTGCGACGACGACGGTATCGAGCAACCCGTGGATACCTTCAAGGAAGAAACCCTTCAAACGCAGGAGCATTGTACAGTCACTGCAACACAGTAGTTGGAGATCTGAATGCTGGAGGCAGCCAATCCGCAGCCGCTCATTCTGCTGCGAAAATATGGCCGACGAGGCCGCGAGTACAACAACATGACGTACAACAGAAATACGTACAACAGCATTTCGTAGAACAACATGATGTTCAATGAGCCCTGTCAGACTGCGAGAGGTCAGGAGGACATTGCAACCCGACACGCGTTTGAACGTGTCCGTTGCGCATGACATTGATGGGCCGAAGTGTGGAAGCTGCGGCGGGAACGGCGACAGCAGTAGTCATGTTGCTGTGCAACTACAAGTGGCAATCGGTCGGGGTGCAAGACACAATTCTTACGGTTTCGCCCTGAATCGACCGTACAATAGACTACTGTAACCAAGCCCTATCTTCTCCACGATGCGGAAGGGAGACAGGAGGCAAAAGACGAGGGGGCTGTGACGGCGAGCGAGAAGTTGTTGCACGACGGCGGATATGCTTTCCGCTGGGTAGATATTCTTGCTGGGCTGATGTTGTTGTAATCGGTGTCGTGATATCGCACGAACAAGATCTTTGCCTCGACGAACCACCCTTCCTCAGGAAATAGGAATTAGGATACCCGAGAGAACTACTGTAGACTACAGCAGCAGTAGCTCAACGCCCACCAAGCCGCACCGACACAAAGGCAACGCCGACACCCTAGCACCGACTGAGGAACACGCCCGTTCAAGAGCGACTCTACCGGCAGGCTCGCCCGAGAAAGCTCTCGTACGCTGCTGCCTGATGCTTTGCCAAGACGCTGCTCACCGTGGCCATGATGGGGAAAAGCTCGGAGGTGCCATCCTTGTACATCTGCGAGCCCTCGATGACGGCAGGTCGGTACTGAAGCTCGTTGTCCATGTTAAGATCTCCCTTAGGGGAGTCGACGTGCGCAAGGCCAAAGGGGCAGACACGCTCAGAGCAGTCGTTGGCCATGTACCCCGAGTAGCAGGTGCACATGTCGTAGGCCCCGCAGGTGCCGCGTCCCGAGCACGCGTTGGGACACTCGGCCACGGCGAGCTTGGCGGCACCCGCCAGGGCCCCCAGCCGCAACAACAATCCAGGCTTCATCGCGGAAGACAGACTCGCCAGAAGTTCCGCAATGTATGCAATGAAAACGCCACACAAGCCTCAAGGCGGCGTTTGAAGGGGCTAGGGCGTGGGGCGTGGGGCCACAGCGACGAGTCTGTGTTTTGCTATCTCTCGGTGTCCACTGCGCCGACCTCCAATCTCGTCCAATCCCCGAGAACGCCGCAGATTTACCGTTTCACGTTTGTTTGTTTTTCGCGCGCGCCGAAGTCCTTCGGCGGCACTGTGGGGGAATTCCTGCACACCCAATCAGCGAACAACCAAAACTGTAACGGTCGTCGTATTTATCGTTTTGTCGACGCTTCGACCAACCATCCTCACGAGGAGAGCGAGGGTGCGAACTGCTGCTGTACCGCAAGCACGTGCGAGTTGTCTGGGCACCTCACAGATCGCAATGGCCATGACTGCATCACAGGCGGAACATCTGGTGCGTGGATCCTCTATGTTGCTGTGCCGTCGACAGTTGAATCCTCCCTGCTGGGGGCTCCGTCGCGTTTGTCAATATTCAAATGTCTTCAATAGTGCATGTACTGTAGTACACAGTAGCATTGGTAGCAACTGTGATGGCTAAATCACGTTTGTGCGGTACATCAATACACTCGTTGTTCGTCGTGTGGGTACTGATTGAAAAAATGATATGTATAAAGTTTGACTGCAGAGAAAAACTGCAGTACAGCAACAATAGTCTAGCTGTTGAGAGGAACCAAGGAGAGGAGTCCGACCCAAACGATAGTCTACAGCATAGTCTGCTTGGTTATCGAACTACTACATCGCAAGGAGAAAAACCAGGCTTTAATTATCCGCGATTGTCTTCTACCATGAACTGCAGCAGCGGCAGCAGCAGCGGTCACCACCTCACGGGCTACACCCAATGGTTCAGCCAGCAACAGGATCTGCACCTATGCGAGCCCTCCAGCTGCTGCGAGAATCACAACCGCTCCCAACACGCCGCCAGAGCGCGCCCACAACAATTCCGCTTCCAAGAGGTCCCCCTCCACCCCTACCGCTGATTGACAAATCGAGATCTGTGGCAGGGGCAGGGCTGCAACCGGGGGCACAACCCCCGAGAAATCACCCAATGCTGGTCGGGAAACCTCCTCCCCCCGCGGCAAACCGCCCGCTAGCAGTGCTCGACGCGCTGGGAGGAGCACGGCGACACAGCACCGGAACCGTCCAAGGGGTGGCACCAAAACCCTTGATGCGACCGCCTCCGCCGCGAGGCCCACGGCCACCTGCTTCATCCGGCGGGACGGGAACAATGGCGGCGATTTCACCCGACCCTTCCGCCGTAAGAGCGGAACCCAATCTACAGGCGGCTCGTCTGGATGCAGCACGGAGGAGGTCGAGCGAACTCAGGGCTCCCCCGCCAGGCCCCCCGCCGCCTGGGCGACGTCCATCGGATGCGGTACTGCTGCCGCCGGGGCCCGTTGAGAGGTTGTCGCCACCACATGGACCGCTGGTGCGCGCTGGGAGTGCCACTCCGAAAGCTCCAGTTGAAGCAGCGACGGCAACCGGGGCACCACCATCACGAGCACCAGCACCAGCACCAGTACCAGAATCAGCACCCGCACCAGTACCAGCACCGGTACCAGCACCAGAAAAAAGCGAAGTAGCGAGGTCTGGGAGCTTCCAAGACTCTGGATCAACGGCATCTGCTTTGAGACAAGTCTCATTCTCCAAGTATAGAGGCCCGTCTAACAGTGGGGAGGCCAAAAAGTTGAGTGCCGACAGAGACAGCACCCAACAGTACACCGTGACCGCCGACGGCGGTGAAGCCGCGGGGGGCGCTGCGGCTGGTGCGGAGGCGGGCCATGCCGCTCATCACCCTGGCAGAAGCAGCAGCAGCAGCAACGCTGCAACAGTCAACCCAAACCAGCCTCTACCGCAGCTGCAGCGGCGACGGCGGAGCTCGCAGAAGCTGAGCGGCCCGGGACGACCCACGCCTCCCCGCCCTCCTGGTAACCCGCCCCCTCGTTCGATCGACGAAATCCGGAGGTACTCCATCTCGAACGAGACCTCCAGCGGCTACAATTTCAGCCGCCGCATGAGCATGGTCGACCCCATCGGTGGCGGGGGTGGCGGCGGCGGCGGAGGCGGCGGCGGCGGACGCCCATCTTTGTCCGACGCTGCTGCTACAAGTGAGAGCAGCGTCAACAACAACAGCAGCAGCATCAAGGACGAGACAGCCAGCAGCGGGGAGAGCAGAACAAGCCAGCCGTCCCCGGGAGGGCGGCCGGCCATCCTGTGGTACAACATGGGGGTCACCAAGCAGAAGGAGGGGAACATCGTGGGGGCGGTGGAGTGCTACGGGCGCGCGGCCAGGGACGGGCACGCCAAGGCGCAGCACAACTTGGCTGCGATCTTCGAGAAGGGAATGCCGGGGGTGCTCAAAGATGACGCTGAGGCCGTGCGGTTGTTCCGACTGGCTGCGGAGCAAGGGCTGGCGGAGTCCTCCTACAGTCTGGCGATGCACCTCAAGTTCGGACTAGGTGAGATGGTTAATTCCTTTGGGTTTGTGTCTTCCGAAACGCGGTCGCATGGTCGGTGCCGTTCAACGCTTTCGTCTGCTGCGCCGCATACCGTGTGTGACGTGCGACAACTCGACATTAATGTACGTACCAATGCATTGCTCTGGCACGAGCACTGGCCTTGCTGCTTTTGGCGGGGCACCATGAAGTACTGCTGTCGCTGATGTGTTGTATCAGTGTGACGTACTCTAGGGGCGGCGAAGAGTGGGGGAAACCATGCGAGGAGACTTTAACGTTACCTTCGTAGACCAATATCAACTCCCGTAGCGCATAGCTTTCGTTCGTCTTGTGCCTTTACTCCAACGTCGCGGATTGCCCTTGATGGAAAGCCGAGAGGTCGTCTGCGCTCGAGCGTCCGGGGCGTTTCTCTTCTTAGTAAAGGCATGAAGACAGTTTGTATATACTTGTGAAAATAATACATACCAGTGTTTTCGTTCAGCCTCAGCACCATCTAATTGTGCCTGTCCTTCTGAAAAGTGTGCCCATCGCGTGTGGTGCTGTCCTCGATGGCACATCAGGGATTCAGCAGGATGACGCGAAGTGCGTGTACTACCTGGAACAAGCTAGTGAGCAAGTGAGTTGGTGTTCGTGGTCTGGGTTAGACCGTGTCCCGGGAGTGTTTTCCCTTGTCGTACTCGTACCAGAGTGCCCGCCCCCTGTGATGATTGAGGCGCAGTATTGACTTGAAGCTGAGCCCAAACCAGGACCAACCAACGCGGCGTGTCCCAACCTACTCTTGGAAGACAAACCTCTTGAAAAACACAACTGGGGTGTTACGACACGTAGACGATTGCCGTTATAGAGTGTTTCGTCCACTCTCCACACCAGATATAGCTTCTCCTACGTCCCTTTGCACAGGTAGTTACCTTTGTCTTCCACGGTCGGCGCCTGATGCCTCCCCCAATGTCTTCAAACCCCGTCTGTGTTCACACCGTTGCCCGACTCGACAGGGCCTGGCGAAGGCAATGTTCAACTTGGGGCTCATGTACGAAAAGCGCCGCGGGGTTAGCTCGGACGCGCCAGAGGGGGACCTGCTGGAGGCCACCCGGGAGTGCTACGAAGCGGCTGCTGAGGCTGGGGTCACCAAGGCGATGGTGAGCCCGTTTTCTTGTGTTGTTTCAACGAAGTCAATGGCCAGCGCCTGTCGGTGTCCTCCCCGCGGCGGTTCTGTCCGTCGCTTACAGCTGTCTCTCCTGGACACAGCAAACACAACGACAGGCCTGTAGGCGTCTCGACAAAAGCACGACACACACCCGTTTTGAGTCTTCCCAGGTGCCCGTTTTTTTTAAATCGAACCACATGTTGATGTCCCGTGTACCACCTCCCGTAGACAGGCATGCCGCCGTGGGAAAGGTTTTTCTTGATCATCTCCGTGAATCGTTGGTTGAATCGGCGTTCGACGCCCCACCGATCCCCCATCCCTGAACTCCCCCGCAGGTCAACTTGGGCGTGTTGTATCTGTCGGGACGGCTACCCGGACGGGAGCAGAGCGAGGCGCTAGGATGCTTCAAGATGGCAGCGGACCAAGGAGATTTGTCGGGTGCGTCTCGGGTCTGTGTGCTTCGACCACGTTTGTTGAAAATGGCGTGGCTGGTGGGTGTGAACAAGCACATGGAGGCGAAGAACCTGCCGAACCAGGGGTTCTTGCACGGAGACAAAATTGAGTTTGGAATGGGCGCGAAACTCGCCAATCCAGCGCGGTTGATATGGTCCATATATCTTGGTAGCACCCTGCCTAGCGTCTATCTCATAGAGGCACCGTTCAGCCTGTCAACACAAGAACATTATAATCTAAACTGCCTAGACCCTGGTTCCCCGATGCCGCCAAGCGAAATAGAAAATAACAGTAAGAAGGGAAGGTGATAAACAAGAAAAATAATTTTCTACCCGGCGTGGTGCGCACGAGATGAGCAACCAACGAGGCTCATCAGATATCTGGAGGGATCTGGGTCTTGGTAATAGTAGCCAGGAGCATTCTAGTTCTGCCTCATCGTGTGATTGCATATTTCGCGACGAATCAGGTCGTGACGGAGTGGTACTCAACGTACTTCAACGCCGAAACATGATATTATCTTTTTCCATGTCACTTGGCCTCAACAAAGGCACCTACAGCACCTACAGCACCTACAGCATCTACTGTCCATTATCCCCACCGCCTTTTCTGACCGCCGCTCAACCAACCGCTGTGCAGGGCTGTGGAACCTGGCTCTGTGCTACGAGCGAGGCGTCGGCGTGGCCAGAGACCCTCTGGCAGCACAGGCGCTACAGCAGCAGTGCAGGGACCGCGAAGCAGGCGGTAGGCGGCCGTCGGTCACCGGCGACCAGGCTGGACCCCTGGCCCCGCACCTAAGGCGGTCGTCAGATCCCTCGGCCTCCGCTATCCCCCCTCCAACAGCCGACAACGGCAACAATAACAAAGCCAACGGCAGCGAGAGCAAGATCAACGCGAGGCGAAGGTCGTCTGGACGGCGGTCGTCGTCCGTCCCTCTCGTTACCCCTCCCCCGCCGGAAGGAGCGCCGCCTCCTACGGCCACGAGAGGAAACCCCCGGGCTAACTCCCAAAACATCAGTCCGGAATCAGCAGCCGCCTCCGCGTCTAGGTAAACACCTACTGACCTCTGTCGGCGTAGGATGAGTCTACTCCCTTCGTTCGAATACAAAAGCAGATTTCCTGGCGTAAGTTGCCCCTCGCTTACGGCATTTTCAAGATTTTGCTTTCCTTTGCCCTCCCCCCGAATCCTTACTCCGACGGCTTCGCCAGCGGTTTGATGTTGAATCCCCCCGAACGCCTCTTTGCACCCTGTCGCCACAGACGATCGTCTTCGCCGTCGAAGCAGCCGTACAAATATGTTCCGAAACGTGACGGACCACTCCCAACCGACACCACCGGCCGCCCGAGCACGAGCAGCAACAGCCAAGCGGCAGAGGGTCCAGCGGCGGGGGGGAAAATCGGGCGAAATAGTCAAGATATGCCCCAACAGGGGGCGGCCGACGACGCCGCGAGTCCGACGGGGGCGCGGACCGGGGGGCCCGCATCTGCGCCCTGGATACCTCCCCCCCCCCGGGACCGAAAGAACAGCTTGCTGTTGAAGCCGACGCCGCAGGCGATTGCTCGGGTCAAGGCGGCAGTGGAGCGGCGGAAGAAGCTACAGGCTGCCGCCGCGTCCGCCGCTCCAGCTACCGATGCGAGGAATCCCGACGGCTTGCCGACGGCAGCGGAGAGATAAAGCGGTTCCCTTTTAGAGGGCAACGCGATTTAGAGGTTGATAGGAGTACGTTGGGATGCGAGGAAAACCGTTGTTGGGGTATTTTACTACGGCATCATCATCAGTGGACTGAGCATACACGCTGACCCGAGCTTTCCAAGCAGTGAACTCGTACTCCGGAGTACGTGGTACGTTCGTGGTGTAGAGGGATTGTTGCGTGGGTTGCCCGGCGCTTCGGCACTGCTTGGAGCTTGATAACAACCCACATTTAGTGGTCGACTACGTCGTGAAGTAAACCAAGAACACGAGGTAGCAATAATTTGTTGTCCTGCGTAGCAAAGTTTTTCCTTTTTGCTCTGAATGCTCCACGCTCGGTTGCATGGATTTCGACCAGCATGGGCGAGTCCGGGGTTGATTGGTCGAGCATTGACTCAACTGCCCGGTTTTAGATAACATCTCAAGGACGCTAACTGTGCACACCCGTATCTTCATCTGCCGAGACGCCATGAACTTGAAGGGATAGGAGTTGATTCGGTGATTGGGACTTCGGTGGATGGGCTCTGAAAACCCTTGGAGTCGTACCGAAACGATACCAGATAAAAAAAACTTTTTGTCAGACACAGCGTCATACCCACGACAAAAAAATTTGGTAACTTCTAAAATCCTACCCAATTGTCCGAGACCCTGAAATTGGTTGGAAGAGTTGGTATTGGGGTTTTGGGGCTCGAGTGTATGGGACTCTCGAAAACACTCGGGTCCGGTCCTCTGAAATGATTCCAGGTATTCCTCGGACTTGCTGTCTCGTACCCGCGACGCCCAAACCTGCCCAGTTTGACCGCGGTTCGACGTTTGTTGTCGACGATATTTCCGAGGGAAGACATCACGGCGCTCTGTTGTTTCATCTCAGCCCCATACAACCCCTCTTCTTTTGCAGCCACGACGCCAGCGACCTAATATAATGACCTCATTGCCGCCTTTTAGACACCCCACACTGTTTCAACCGAATTTTATCTTTGATGTTGTTGTGCTCCTCGTATGAGAGGGACTACCACATGGCACCGATAGTTCACGTGGAGGATGTGTTTCTTGAATGGAAAGAATTGGGGCTTCTATTGGCCGAGGCAGACCTTCGGTCGACATCGTCGCCTCTCCTGCCGCTTTAACTTCGAGCCTTATTCTCAGTACGCCGCCGTTCAAGACATGCTGCGGGAAACTGATGACGATCAGCAACCTTGACTAGCGCCCCCATCCTCCGAACACAGGTGCTATGTTCACCTGCGTTCTATGCTGTAGTCTACCGCTTACGTGTGGGTGTATGGACAAGATGAACAACAACACATCACTCACTTCTAATTTGTTTCGCAACCCTTCGCTATCTGCCTGATCAGCGCGGAAACACATTAACCACCAAATGATTGTGGCGTCGGTAGGGTTGAAGCCTAAGAAGTCGTGAAAACCGAACCCGAAACCACCAGTTACACAGATTCTCCTGTTACCACTACCCCACGCTGGAGGCTGTGGGGCTGGGACACACTACAATATCTACCACATCATCACCGACGTTGACTCTTCAAACACTGTCCGACATTCCGATTTCGTGCTTCCGAGAGAAGGCAGCAAACTCACGTGGTTAGGTGATTTCACATATTTGTTTACCAACATCGACTATTGTATGAAACCACCTCCCTGGTTACCCAGCAGGGATCTCACACATCGCAATAAAATGGACAGACAAAATCCTCTCTTGCACGCATGCGACCAGGAGAGATAGCCGAGTAGGGGCGGGATTAGAAACGTTTCCGTTCCCACAAGCAAGGACGGGAATCATCTATGCCACACCTCTAACACAATAGGGCCGAACATTTTCACGACATCCTCGCCGCCGTACCACAAGGCTATGAAACACGCCAGGCCTGACAGAAACAGCAGTGTACGCCAAAACCAACAAAGCAAGTATATTGTGCCGAAGTTCAGACTGAGGAATCAACAGTGAACCCATCGACCATTAACTCGTTCGCCGGGACACACCACCCCACATTTTGGTGAAAATCTTTCTCCTTGAGGGACGGCATGTGCATGGCACAACCTACTTCTTCTCTTCGTTGTGGATGTCGTGAAGAATCTGCCATGTGTGTGCACGGGAACGAACGTTGGAAACGGAGGAGGCGGTATGATGAGAACAGACGTAGAAGATTTGTGATCGCGCTTGTGTACGGACCTGGTAGGAAGCGGAAACGTTGCTGCCATCGCACGTGTCTTTGCCTCTGGTGCTGACGAAGGTTCATCGGTCCCTACAGATTACACACCAGAGATGATTCAGGTGAAAATGCATCGGTCGCTGCTAAATATACTACTGCTACCAAGACGGGAAGTAGGGTGATAGTTCTACAGCACGGTCCCCCCGTTTGCTCCCAGTCCGTCAACACACGCTTACCATCAGGCTGGAGTGCTTTGCTCTTGCCAGCGTGCCGAACTGGTAGTTCTGACTTCTACACCAACCCAGAAATGCGTCTCTCGTCTTGAGCATCTGCGGAAGTTCGTGGGGAAACGCTACATTAGTTGGTCGCAGGACAATTTCCAGCATGTGTTCGACGCACGTTTTCATTCCATCACGCCCTGTCTCCTCACACCAATCATCCTACCGTTCACCTCTTTAGGTTAAATTTGGGGTCGCAACGCTTTCGATGCGATATTGTTTTGGGGTGGGGATTCCGCCCCCAGCCGTTTTCGAAAATGACACGGAAGATACGGAAAATTCCATCAACACCGTCCAACATCACTGCATGCAATCTATCGACAAGACAGGATTCTGCGGCTCCCTGGCATGGTGGAGGGGGTCAATTCAGTCAAAGGCCCCCGATCGGGGACAACAGGAAAGGCTTTTTCCCTTGCAGCGTTTTCCTTCCTCACCTCAGCGTAAGGTTTTCCGTCGCCCTTAGATCCTCCGCCTCCCTCACCGATCGTCTTGGAATACAAATCTTCTTGCTGAAAAAATTACGCGTTTCGTGAAACCAACAGTGGTGGGGCGGGGCGACCATTCCAGTGTAGTACAGTGGCAATGAAGAAATGATAGAGTTAACCAGCAGTAGAGCTAAAATTGCTGAGTCAGAAGCCATATCTGGCCCAATGCTTCAAGTGCTTCATAACAAGCAAACGAAACACCCCGATACTTGGTCGTTCGTCGTGCGTCGTCTGTTGAAGGCTCTGAGACGCACACCCAACCCATGGCGTTGAAACAACCTGAATTCTCTTCGACACAAGCACAAGCTCCTTCCAACCGGAGGCTACAATGAAACCGTTGCTGACCTAGACAAAATAATTGAAGCGGACACGTTTCATCCAGGCTCGTCATGACAAGCGCCATTCGTTTCAACCTCAATGGTCGCATGTCGCACCTACTTGTGAGCTAACCCCAACCGTCAACCACGCCACATGTCGCTGAGTATCTGTCGCTGGTAGTGCGACTTCTCCGTGCTCTCACCTCTTCGTTGCCAGCCTTGCCGCTGGAGAGGGTAGCGTCAAAAAGCGAGTCCTTGTAGCGCTCAACAGTCTTCATCAACTTTAGGACCACGGGGTCGCAACCACCTGTGCAGACCAATCAGCGCTTGGAATCATTCAAGTAAGACAGACGATATGGGGTTCGTGGCACTAGCGGCAGATGAAGGAAGAGCCAAACGAAACGCAATGAGCGGCGCACTTTGACATACACCGCCTGCATGAGGCAGACGTTCGGAGGCGAAACGGGGCCTGCCACTACGAAAGCTGCCGGTCTGAGGTAAGCGTGTGGTTCACTGTCTGTCGAGTGCCTCACGATGGACAACGCGTGGATGAATTGATTCTCAAACACCACTACGTAGCTCTGTAGCTCTGGCTCACCAGAGTCGGCGTCGCTTCCGTCAGCCACCTTCCTCTGAAGTGGTCGACAGCCCAGAGCATGGAAGGGATGGGCGCCAGGGACGGCATGGGAGCGAAAGAGCCGCAGTGGTTTGTCTAGCAGGCGCACAGAGAGTGGTAGCCTTGGTTTGACCACCGTGGGCGACGGTGCGAGAGAAGACGGTCTACCCCGAGCCTCTCGGGAGAGACAAAATGCCCGGAGAGAGGCACGAGCAGACACCAACACCTCTGACCCACGGCGGAGGTTTCGACATGAACGAACGTTTCATTTCCATTCAAGACGGCTCCACCTCTATGTAGACGAGTGATTCTTCGCATTAAACCGGGCATACCTCCTTGTTCGGCCCCTGTTGGGCGGCGTCGCCCCCGAGTGCTCCATCACCCCCAGGACCTGACGCGTCGGCTTGCTCAGTCCCCGCAGTGGACCCTCCAGAACCACGCGGCCCTCCCCAAGCCGCTGCGCCCCCGCCGACGGCGCACGGCATGACGGCCGACGCGGATCCTCCTCCTCCGTTGGTGGTACCGGCCCCCGCTGATGACGATGGAAGGACTGCAGCTCCTTTTTCGTCCCTTAGGGCCTCGGGTTCGACGGTGACGTCGCATGTCCCCCGTGCTTCGGTTGCCGCGGGGGAAGAAGCCACCGGTTCTGGCGCATTCCCCTCCGTGGAGGGAAGGTCCCGAACTTCCTTCGGTGCCCCAGGCACTCTCCACCCCGGTAGTAGCCGCCGCCGCCGACGGCGACTTCTCCAGTTCTTTTGGAAAGATGTTGCCACGGGGGGGGGTAAGTAAGGGCGCACGAGCAGGGTCAAGGGTGGGAAGAGGCGTGATCAATGGGTTGAACCTGTTGAAAAACGCTTTGACTTGATTCCTCCGCGTTTTCAGTGGTGTTCTCGTTAGAAGCGAATGAGCGACCTCAACCGGCGAACGCAGGATCGCTTGCGCATAAAAGCTTGCGGATTGAATGAACACAATACCGTAAGATCTTTCGCGCGTCTAGTGTTCGTTTCCCTCCCGAGGCCTACTTCGCGCCGCAGGATCATGGGGCAAAGTGCATGCAATAGCAAATCATTTTGATACTATAGAAGCCAAAACCAAGTCGTTTGACTAGTCAGCGCTGACTTGCCTATTTAGTGGCTTGATTTTGGCTTCAATATAAGTTGTCCATGGGGTCCTAATGACCCGACACTCTCACTTCGAGGGAGTTTCGGCTTCTAAGCACGGTTTGGTTATGGTTGTTCTTCTAAGGCTCTGGATACAGTATCTCTGCCCTCCCCGGCAGCTGCTTCGGGGAACCGGTAAAACAATTTGTTGCGGGTCGTAACCGCTAGGGTAAACCAGATATCAGCCCTTGGTCTGCTCACCTCCTCGAAAATGGTTTCCGCTTTATCAGGCCAGAGGAAACCCGGCAAATACGGCAGCCGTTGTGCTACCTTCTTCGGCTCGTTGCCAATGCGCTCGAAAAGGTTGCCATAGCCTGCGATGTACCCTCGCTCCAGTGCCAATTTGAGGCCGTTGGTGTACCTGCCGCCACAGTCGTGTTGTGTGGGTGTTTCCGCTTGTCGATGTGCTTACAAACAATATTTGTCGAAACTGCCGTGCTCCATCGAATGCGGGAACCTCTCCATCCGAGACTTGTTACAGACTGTAGGTAACTTGGCAAGCCTAACTTGGCAAGCCTAACTTAGCAAGCCTTTTTTTGGTAATGTTTCGGGTACTGTCGGCTGTGCGATCCTGGATCGAACACGCACTCTGAAACACACGTACACGACTCAATAAACCCCCATCGCTGCAAAACACCACACGGAAGAACACAACCAGATGCCCGAAGCCACATGCTTGGGGCAAGCGGGTTTCCTCTCCGCCAAGGGAAAAAATCACGAACGCACGCCGCTCACCACCTGACCAGTGCCTCGTCGTTGGGCATCTTCATGCTCGTCGGGCGTACATTCAAGATGTACGACCCATTATTCCTAGGGGGAGCGGCCCAGAAGTACGCAAACTCGAAGCCTCTTCTTCCCGCATCCTTCAAGTACGCGATTAGTACCTCAAGGTACAAGTCCCCTCTCCTGCCACCGAAGAACGTTGATTGGAACACGGTAACGCAGAGGAAACCTCGGTGCGTGAACCTTCCTCTAGCTCTGTCGGTGCTGCTAGTGCTAGAAGCGCTAGGCCCTGCCGTTGTGGCAGTGCCCTAGGTACCAGCAAACCGGACGGGAATGAATGTCATTGTGACGACGAGCCACATTAGTGTCGATTGTCTATTTGCTAGACTTGACGCACCTCGGGTAGGCTGAGAAAGGTACCGAATCCAAGTACGAAACAAATACGGATCGTTTGTTTGCACTCGGGCAGTCGTTGCCGTAATCGTGCACGAACATAGTGCGGGTTGTAACGAATTAGTTTTTTTTTTTTTACCGTCGGTTGTGGTGTACCAGAGGACGGCCCCGGAAGTATATAGAATTCACCCTGTATTTGGGGTATGTGCATACTACTTTCTGGTGAGTTGGCACTCGATTGGACGTGGTCGTTCAACGAGCGCCGCAAACGAAAATGATGAC